CACTACAGCCCTTTGATGGACCTTGCCGCTTTTTCATCTTCATCCTAGACACACATCCTTCTACCTACACACAGAACAACGCAAACACAGAATAAACAGAAAAAGACATTTTTGCTTGGAGTGGGATTCGAAACCAGGATCGCAGCATTCGAGCGAGAGAAGATAGTTCATGCCTCAGACAGAGTGGCCACTGTGATCGGCAAGTAACGGCGCCTACACAATTAATATCTAGAGTAATCGCCAAAAGAAGCAGTACTGAAACTCGCGCATGTGCGTTTGTCGACGGGGCATAGCTCTAGCCGCACGTGTTCCCAGTAGTGAAAAGGAAGTTGTGTTGTGTAGTTGTTGTTGGAAATGGGTCCCTCGACGGAGGAGAAGGTATCATAGTTGAGTATTATTTCCGCTCATACGGAAGTGGTCGGCAAACAACACGCTTCCTTGGCTTTGAGCGACCATATGTTACCGTCCAGAAACCGCTACACAGTACACGTGTGACGATACGGTGTGCCGTCTCAGCACACTGTATATTAGGCCCCTATTTCAGTAAGGATGAGGAAGGCAAATGCTCTTACTGTCACCCAAGTACGCTACAGGGACATGGTGATCTGACCATTTCTTCAGGATTTGAGAAGGTTCTGTCGTATAAGGGGCCTTCACATGAATAAACAGTGGTATCAACAGGAGGTCATTTAATTTCAGCACTGAATTTTTTGGCGCATACTGTACTTAAATATAAGATATCTTCATTACGTTTCTAGAGACACAAGTACACTGTCACGCACTGATAAAGACGGTCATGAAATGTCGCCAGGAATCACGCAGACAAAATTATAATACTACTACAACCTCTGCAATATACAATTTAAATTATCAATTGTTGTTAATGAAGAATTGAAAGATTTATGTGAAACGTCGATTAAATAATTACACTGGCCTTCGAAATCATACTTAAATGCGATAGATTGGGGGAGCTTATACATCCAACGTGAAATCTCTTCTCTGATGAAGGTACTCGCTTATTACAGCATGTATTAATATTCCCTTTCACACTGACTCTTAATAATTAATACACTAATTCAGCTAGTGTCGGGGTGCGCAAACTAATACCCTCGAGCCTGAGTCGATCCGTGAAAGCTTTGTAGCCCGTGAAGCTTCTGTAAAATTTTGCCTATAATTTATATAAAATTTTATTTTAAATAAATATTACAAATCTAGTCAGTAACTTCAAGCAGCACAATCTGTCGAACTAATGTGGTGAGTAATTGCATTCATTGAAACATGCGAACATAAGCATCCTGGAAAAGTGCGGCAGCTCTTTGCAGGCTGTGAATGTGTGCTAATTATTTGCAGTTGCAAGTTATAAACATCCAATAAATTAAATAACCAATCCGAACCAGACATCTCGTCACTAACATGTGACATTAAGACTCCGCTTATTACACAAATACTTAAAATCGATCCGTTGGCCTCTTTCTGGCCCGACAAACCATTTGCAGCACCTAATTCGCCCCTTCGGCTATAAACCTTGCTCAACACTCTGATGTATATACGTATAAGGTAAACCTACCCCTATAATGGGCCATGGAGGCCCATAGAGTTGTCAGACGTTAAGGGTCCACATTATCTAGACGACTGGCCCACAGATGGCGGAAAGATTGTCAGCCTTACGCGGTAGCCGCCCTTTACCCCCCAAGAAGATTCCTGGTACTCATTTATGTTAGAGGCTGAGCAGACCCCAGGGCTATATTGCGGCTGGAAGGATTAGGTCCACTGAAAAGAATCCACCTCATCGGGACTCGAATCCGCGACCTTCAGGCTTGTAGCATAGTGCCTCAACCAACTACGCTATTGCGTGCCCTCACACTTAGACAGTTTATGCTGTTAATATCTTTAAAAGTCTTACTACAGAGAATGCACAATTCCTAGTTATCACACAATTTAAGCACTGGAAGTTATCCATATCCATGAAGCAGATACCTTCTTGAGAAGCTGCCAGTCATTCAGCGTGTCAAAGAATTTCCAGTTATTTAACCAAAGGCCCAGCCCATGTTCTCAGAAGCTCTGGATCCTAACCTGAGTTAGATGAATTAAGTCCACATTGTCACATCTTACTTTTAAAAGTCCATTATCCATTCGTTTCTCCTTGCACATCCCTCTATCCACCCACCCACCCATATATGGCTCTACAGCCCTTTGTTGGACCTTGGCCACTTTTCCAATTTTTTGATCTTTTACAAGCCGGTACGACTCCTTCGCCAGGGGATCAGCCCTTCGCAAGGCCACTACCTGCACACAGGACGGCACAAACACAGAATAAAGGCATACATACATCCATGCCTCAAGTGGGATTCGAACCCACCACCCCAGTGTTTGAGTGGGCGAAGACAGTTCATGCGTTAGATCGCACAGCCACTGTGATCTGCCCTTGTATATACTATATCTGGAACCCCCAAGTGAAAAGTACAACTGAAAATATCAATTTATGTTTTTCAAAATTTGAAAAGAATACGCCAATACAAGATTCTGCACTGGACATTATCTTATCGCGAGAGAGTTCTGTTCTTAAACATCGTAAATAAAACACATCTACTTCTAATGGAAAGATGGAATAGGGATTACGAAGAATAAAGGAGAAGAAGACAGAGGGAAATAAAGCTCCCATCTATTATGAAGACTACCACATTTACAACATATAATTTACAACTGGTACTAAGCGGCCTCCGTAGTCTAGGGGTAATGTTCCCACCTCATGACTCAAGGTACGCGGGTTCAAACCCGGCGGAGGTCGTGGAATTTTTAAGGGCGGAAAAATTCAGGGAACCAGTTCTCCGGGAGAGACTTTAAGCCGTGGGTCCTCATGTCTCTAGGAGACCTCTGAGCAAAATTAGGCAAGTTTCCCACCCAAGTAGTTTCCAATGTAGATGGGGGAAGCATCAAGGTACCGACGGCCGACATCCTTGGCTCAACGGGGCAGACAGCACGCACCAGTACCGGCAGGGTATGGGACTGGTAGAACATCAAAGGAGGACGTACAATAGATCAACAACTGGTCTCGGTGCATGGGGAAAGCCACCTTCTCCAATAATAATAATAATAAATTACCATTCTTACTAGCTTTCTCTACATGTTGGTCGCGTAATGAGACGTTGCCTCTTGATTGCACGTAAGGGAAACAGAAAAAAAAATGGAAAGCAGTGGCAATGCAGTTATTGTGCCCCAGGTTATTAATGGGTATGCTTTATCCTAGCAAGGGGTCAAATTTACGTGTTATTGATTAGAAAATAATTATAAGTTTTATAAATTTAAATACGTCGGGTGAACCACAAGTTGTAAACCCGCCGGAAGCCAGAGTTGAGACGCCGTACATTCTGTAGCCATCCGGTATCAGTTGTACAGTCTATAGAAATTGCTGACAAATTAAGTGATGACACGAGGCAAGTCTCGCCACCGCACAGTTTGCTGACTTAGGGGTTTTACACGAGCAGCTTTTCATGATGTTGAATGTTGAGGGGTTCAGACGGGAGGAGCTGCGAACACTCTGATTTTAAAAGTCGCTCAGAACAGTCGCGTGGTAGGAAGGAGACGCGATGGAGTCAGATGTCTTCCTCTTTTGTGAGCGTGAGTACTTGCCTGTGTTCGGATCACTGATGATCACTGGTTCAATGATTTTGGTTAAACTGTTTTAGTGTATAAACTTTGGAGTGTAACCGAGTAATTCTGAATTATTGAGTGGTGGGTTAGGTACCAGCATTTGGTTTAATAATTAAGTTTGGATGGTAACCATTTGTATTTATACTGGCATGTTGGTTTGAGGTTGTAGATAATGCTAATCATGTGAGTTTGGTAATTTAAAGAAATTTGAAAGTACTCGATTTATTTGTGGATCCCCCGAGTGCAAGCATGTTTTCCACCTCACAGGTTAAGAGTTATCCACGGACGTCCGATAGGGGGTGAGTACAGTCACTGACCCCTATTAGGGTACAACAAATTGGTGGCAGCGACAAGATATAAAAAACATTTTTGTGTCGCAACCGTTGCGGCATCATACAGTGGTTGCAGCTGCATTTTGAGAGGGCCGGGAGTGAAGAAATGACGCTATGTAACCGAGATCCTGTTATGCTATTCCTGCAATTCTTATATCGTAGTTACTGGACTGAAGGCCGCGCCATAGCTCAAGCGGTTAGCCTCTGGCTTCACCCCGCGGAGGCCCGGGTTCGATCCCGGGTCTGGTCAAGTGGGATTTGTGGTGGACAAAGTGGCGCTGGGGCAGGTTTTTCTCCGAGTACTTCGGTTTCCCCTGCCAATCTTCATTCCACCAATTGCTCCACAGTCACCCTCACCTATCATCTGGGGCTCGTACAATAGGCCAGAAGTGGCCGCAGTACAAGGGACTTAGTCCCACCCCACTAGCAATAAAAAGAATATTGGACAGAAGCAAATCCACTGCCAATATAAAGATGGACATACTTTGTAAAGTTGTTTTTTTTTCTTTGCGTTACGCTTTGATTACGTCCAACAATTGAACGTTAGTTGAACATACGATTAGAGCGTATGTATGACACAGTTTCACTCCCTCAAGATTAGCAGAGATTATTCTAGTGGCTTAATTCTTTCGTCCAATATATACAGAATTTATTATTCACCACATATCCAATTTCTATTTACCAGAGTAAAATGACACTTTTCCTTAAAATTTTATAGTTCGGGGTAAATACAAGAAAGTAAGATATTTAAGAGCTCTTTCTTCTGGGATATAACTCCGTTGAAACCAACCGACGTTTCGGAAGAACATGTCACCTCTGTCTTAAGGGCTGAAGACAAGACGATACGTTCTTTCGAAACGTCGATTAAATGTCAATGAATTACACGACATTTATCACATAAGACAAAACTCCCTACAAACATTACTACAACAGCTTCAACTCGTGCATAATAAACATCTTATCTTTGCTTTCATAGGTGCTGACAATTCAGTACGAATACAGTGTGATGGTACTCACTCTCTGAAGACACGAGAATGGTGCAGACAACCCGCCACCACAGCACCAGTATGGACCGCCGCATCATGGTTCCGTCTCTCTGTAAAAGAATTATTTGTTGGTAAGGGGAATTCGGCCATGAAACTGTTGTTACAAAAACACTACAGTGCATACAACGTCCACCATAGCTACTGCCTTCTTCCTTCTTGAATGAATGTTGAAACGGTGAAACATCTTTCATCATAAAAACATGAATGTATGAATGTTCACATACACATCACGAGCTATGCACATGTGTGTGCACAACACTTCATTAGGTGGAGTGGGCATCTTTATACGGCATAATTATAATTATTTACTTACTTATTAAGTCTTACACCACAGCGTAGTAGGTAGAGCAACTGGTTACAGGCTGGACGACTGAGGGGTAGGAGTTCGAGCCCCGGTAGGGTCAAGAATTTTCTCTTCATCCCGTCATCCAGACCGGCTCTGGGGCCCAACCAACCCCCTGTCTAATGGGTACCGGGTGCTCTTTCCCCGAGGGTAAAGCGGCAGAGACGTGAAGCTGACCACGCACCTCCAACTAGTGCCAAGGTCAACAAAACGTGGATCTATACGTCCACTTCCTCATACGCCTTCAAGGTATAGTGTTTAATCAGTTAAGCACGGGGACAACTTTACATTTCACCTTTACTAGTCTACGCGACCACTTAGGCGCATACATCCTGTTCTATAAACTGCATACATTACGTACCCACATACATATACAGACAAAAGCATATATGGACATTCAGAATCACATAAATGCTTATGCATATTGTGTCATGACAATTGAAAGCTGGAACAGCGTAGCCAGACTAGACGTACATTACTAGGCAACGACTCGATGAACAGGTTCCAGTGGTAGTGAATCAAGGAGCAAAAATCGAGGTAATATTGAGCTATAACGATGGAAGCGGTGTTTTCTGTTGGGTCCACCCCGAGGCTATATAACGAGGATCCCAGGCCAGGTGAATGATGATTGAGAAGATATGGCAACGGGTTAGTTGAGTTGCAAGAGTGCGGCTGTGAAATGAAGATTTCATGTGCGCTGCAGTTACAGTGAGATTGTGTTGAAATCCGTTGCCAGAATACGACTAGTGAAGAGTGAGAAGCACGGCGTGTGTGAAAAGATGAGCTGTAGACTGCGTAGATCAACGATAGCTCTGTATTACTTGTAGGCACGAGTTGAGTGTATAAGCGCAATAAATCCATTCAGCCAATCCAAACCCCGTCTAACAGTCAAGCCCCCAATACACGTGACAATATATACAAATGTAAGTACACAACTAAATCATGCAGACAATCATCAAAGGAAAGAATGATTGCAAACAGTAGACATATGCGGTCCGAGGTCCTCACGGCGGTCAATATAAAGAGTATTTTCCTGCGATATGACGCCGTTCAGTCTTGCACAAATTTTCCAACGTTCCGGAGGAATGTGCTGTCTTCATTTTCAGGGTTGAAGATAGAGATGGAAGCAATAATTTCCTCCGAAACTTCAGTGAAGTACAAGACTATACAGTGTCACATCCGCCTTCAGTAAACATGTATTTTATCTCCATGTAACATTGCAAACCACACACAAAACATAGTGTGATCAGTGAATCACATATCGTTACATGTAATTTTGAATTCATAAAACTCGTTAATATCCCCTCGTTTCTCTCATACTGTCCAGATTGACGTGCATGACATAAGAGTAAAAATTCCTCCCTCCAACATCAAATTCCAGGAAATATATCAATTATATTTTCATGTCTGTTTTCAGAAGAGAAAGGTGCCATATTTTAATTATATTTCACTTCAAAACTGGATAAAAATCACCATGACCAATTAAACGACAACCGCATATTACGATTCCATAATGCCACTAATTACGTTCGAGTTTAATTAGCGAATACCAATACTTGTCATCTATGTCAGTTCCCTTATTAATCAGATGTTAAATTTCATTAGTAGTGGGGCAGTCGGCGTATCCTTGACCATTAGCCCATGAATTGAATTGAATGATATGGCACCCACTGACAGGCATCACACTCCTGTGGTACAAATCTCGCACTACACACACAACTGTATGGACTGAATTTGGATCCAGGGGCTTATCAACAACAGAGAAAATTTGCACAGAAAATCCTGATGAAGTAGAAACTGGGTGTACAGAAAACGAGTCCTAGCCCGGGGTGTAATACAGATAAATTTGTCCTTGTGGTTAACTAATTAAGCACTACGCCATGAAGGCGTATGGGGGAGTGGACGTATAGATTCACATTTTCTTCACCTCGGGACCAGTTTGAGGTGAGTGGTCAACTTCACACCCCGGCCACCTTATCCCCGGGGATAGAACCTACCATCCATTGGATATGAGGTTGTGTGAACCCCAGAGCCCGTCTGGACTACGTGGAGAAAAGAAAATTCTTGACACTACCAGGACTCGGAACTCCGATCCCTTGGTCGCCTAACCTATAGCCAGTCCCTATACCGACTGTGCTATTCCGGCTTCCGGGGTTTAATATATGAAAGAGTTATATATATATAGGTGCTTCCTTGAAATGTAAAACAACGCCATTAAACTTTTAGAACGTCAGAATTTATGTTGAGAGCTACTGACTGCCTGTTATACAAAACAGGGTGAGGAGAACTGAATTTTTATACTTACACACAGCATATATTATGATGCCAATGCAATTTTCGAGCTCTGGTTAAATAACGTAACGTGTATTTTGAGAAAGTTGTCATCTCTGAGCAAAGATATTTTAGAAAAAAATTTATTATCCTAACATGAAATAGAACAAATATTTGGCACAAATTTTCACCCGTGAAAAAACCAATGCCACTGATTTATTAGGCGTAGGGCAGTAAGAACTATGCTTTCATATGCAGAATTGGACCGAGTGAACATTTTATCTCAAGGGAGAAAAGAACAGACTTTTCATAATAATCAATTGTTATTTTTTTTCCTTGGCACTACAGCCCCAGTGGGCCTAGGCCTACCTCCATGAACTTAAACAATTTTTATACATAATGAGAATTCTAAATAGCCGATCAGACTGGCCGCGCGGCCTAAGGCATACAGGTAAAATACCTTCGCTCGATCGAACACTGGGATCGTGGGTTCGAATCCCACTCAAAATATGGGTGTTAGCTGCGTTGATTCTGTGTTTGTGTTGTCCTGTGTAGGCAGCGGCTTTGTGTGGGGCTGATTCCCCATCCGAGGGGTCCTACCTGGCTAATGATTCCCGCAACAATAAAATACAGCCTTATTATCTTTTAAAGCTTAGTTAAAATATTTCATGATCCATTAACTTACAACATCTTAATTAAAATAGCTGTTTAGAACATCTGGTATCAACTTCATGTAAGACCCATTAGTTTCATATTTGTACTTTAAAGTTTTTTTTTTCGAAATTATAATTTATTTTACAAAAATGCCTTAACAGAAAACGTTCAACTGTTTTTAATTTCCAGTCTTAAAATCTTTAAAAAAGTGTGTATTAATATTGTAACTGATTCGATTAACGCACTGCCAGGCAACGGCTCCGTATACATGGTCCAACACGCAACAATAGAACAAAGGGATTATGCAACCCGTTTCTTGCTAAGGGCTAGGTAAACACACTTCGGCGCAGGTGGAATGACGTCACCGCAACAGTGGATAGCTGTCATATAACGTGTTTTCTGTAGGAAGCAGCCAGCATGCCAATGGACTGGGTGGATAGCGATCACGTGATATGTTTTCTGTAGGTCCGTGTCCTTGCCGCGTCTATATAAGTGAGCAGAATTCCAAAGCTGCAGGAGTAAGCGACCGGACTATAGCGCTAAGCTGGAGGAGTATACCAAGCAAAGAGCAAGCCTGGGCAGTTGACCGAATTAGACTGAAGAAATAAAGCCAGCCATGGGAAGTTTGTAGTGGATGAAGAATTAGAAGTCGGTCTGTGAAAATTTAACTGGTGATTTTAAGACTTTATCTGTGCTGTAGTACAGTGATATTGGGAGTGTGTGATTGAGACTTTTATAGTACTTGTGTAAAATCCCTTGACAGGAACCGGATAGTGGAAACATTGTCAAGACAGCCATAGTTCTGAACTGATACCTAGGAACGACTAGTGCAAGCAGATGTAAAAATTTTCTTTTCCTTGGCACTACAGCCCCAGTGGGCCTAGGCCTACCTCCATGAACTTCTCCGTTCACTTCGGTTTTTCTAGATCTTACACGTTCGGTAGGACTCCTAGGGCGGGTGATCAGCTCATCGCAAGACTTCTACCTCTACACAAACACAGAAAAACGCACACACACAAACTACACATCCATGCCCTGAGTGGGATTCGAACCCACGATCCCGGTTTCCAAGCGAGCGAAGACAAATTTTATTTATGTGTTATAATTACAGTAATCCTTAGATTGTTACACTCGTAACTCATTGTAGTTACGGCTAGTAAATATCCAATAAATTGACTCACCGATGCAAACACCGTCTACTAGTCAGTAATACACGTGACAATATAATTAATATACCCAATGATAACATTCAATGGGTTACAGTGTTTCTTTCTGATTAGATTATATAAAAATCTTATATAACATGCATATCCTACACCCTCTCTCTTCCACTAAAGCTCAATGAGTTTCACTGTTTATTTCAAATCTAAAAATTCTAAAACTTTTAGTAACGTTTTAAAATGTATTTCCAGTGTTAAATTAAACGGGTTTCATTATATCTGTTGAATGTGAAAAATCCTAAAGTCCAAACAAATGCACGTTTAAACTTATATTTCAAGTGCTAGAAGTCACTGTATTAAGTTGGGGACACTGGTTTCAAATACGTAAGATTTGAGGTTTTCACGGCGGTGACTATGAAGAAAGCAGTCTTCTGGGATTTGGCACCGTGTATATGTGGTGTTAACCGACGTTTCGGAGGAATGTATCGCTTCCATCTTCAGGGTAAAAGGAAAATTATAAGAAATCCGCAGCCGAAGAGACCGGCTGCGGATTTCTTATAATTTTCCTTTTACCCTGAAGATGGAAGCGATACATTCCTCCGAAACGTCGGTTAACACCACA